TTCCTGCCCAAGGTCACAGCTCCCTCCCAGATCCTGCACCCCATCCTGATCTATTCTCAGGGTGTCCTTAAAGCACCAACTGCTAGAAGCACTGACCACTGTTGGAAGACCAGTGATCTGACCTAGTATGGCGTTTCTTATGTTTGTAACTCTTGTAGACCCAAGACATTGTGAATGAGGTTGTCTAACAGGGAAATAATGCCTGTGATAATGTCTCAGTTGGCTGCCGGTCTAGGGACTGCCTCCATTCTGGCTATGTCTATACTACAAGGTTTTTGCACAAACACGACTGTTTTTGCCCCAAAACCCGTGGAGTGTCTGCACTTCAAGCATGTTTTTGCACAAAAAAATCTACAGTCAATTGACAGAACAGAGGGCATTTTGTGGTGTAGGTAAACCTCCTCCCACGAGGCATAACTCCTTTTTGTGCTACAGCTCTTGTGCAAAAAGGCATGTGTGGACTCTCTGCAGGGGTTTCTTGTACAAAAGAAGAAGCACAGGTTCTCTGATGGCCATTCTGTGATGGCCATCAGAGCTTTCTTGTGCAAGAATGTCCATGCAGCATAGATGCTCTCTTGTGCAAAAGTGCATCACAAAAGCTATGTGCGTTGAGGTGTGGACGCGCTTTTGTGCAAGAAGTTTTTGTGCAAGAACTCTTCCACAAAAGACTTCTTGCGTAAATACCCTGCAGTGTAGATGTAGTCTCAGGGTATGTCTACACTAGCTCCCTAGTTTGAACTAGGGAGGCTAATGTAGGCATTCGAAGTTGCAGATGAAACCTGGGATTTAAATATCCCAGGATTTATTTGCATCTTCCCGTCTGGGTGCCATTTTTAAATCCCCCTAGTCCAAACTACCTGCCCGCGGCTACATGTGACATTCAAACGTTAACTCGAACTAAGGACTTAGTTGGAGTTAACGTTTGATTGCTGTGTGTAGCTGCGGACAGTTAGTTTGGACTAGGGGGATTTAAAAATGGCACCCGGATGAGAAGATGCAAATAAAGCCCGGGATATTTAAATCCCGGGCTTCATTTGCAACTTCAAATGCATATATTAGCATCCCTAGTTCGAACTAGGGGGCTAGTGTAGACATACCCTCAGTGTCTGAGCACATTGCCCGTACCTTAACAAATAATAAATAGCAACATTCATTTCTTAAATATTCACATGAGCAATTTTTTCAACATCATTTTGAATAAAACAAATAGACTGAGTCCTTAAATAAAGACCTGAAAACTTTTCCTAAGAGATAGCAACAACATGATTAAAGGTTTAGTCAAGATTTTAAAAACTGGGTTGGTTTAGTTTGAAGGCAAGAAGACTGAGGTGGGTCATAACAGTTTTCAAGTACGTAAGAGGTTGTTCTAAGGAGGAGGGTGAAAAATTGTTCTTAATTTTTGAGAACAGAACAAGAAGCAAGGGCAAAAATTGTAGCAAGAAGGGTTTAGATTGGGCATTCTGAAAACTTTTTGTCATAGTGCTAGAACAAATTACATAGGAAGGTCATGGAATCTCCATCACTAGAAGTTTTTAAGAGTAGGTTAGACAAACCCTTGTTAGCAGGGCTCGCCGAGCTGTGGCGAGCCCTGCTAGCCAGCCGCGCTATCCAGCAATCTGTGCATGTGCAGATTGCCCGAACTCAGCTCTTCCAGGTTGTAATCTACTCGCCACAGGCGAGTAGATTACATAGATTGTCGAGCCCTGCTTGTTAGGAATGGTCTCACTAATACTTCGTTCTGCCTTGGATGCAGGGGAATGGACTAGATGACTTCTGGAGATGCCTTCTAGTCCTACACGTTTATGCTTCAATGATTGTGCAACCTCTCTTTTTCTCAGGTGTTGGTCCATGGTTGGTGACCAGCAGACTGGACAAAATCTTTCCATTGGGCTGAGGTGTGACTACAAAGCTATTGTGGAACATGAAATCTTACATGCGATGGGATTTTATCATGAACAGTCGAGGACAGACCGGGATGATTATGTGACAATCTGGTGGGATGAAATTCTTTCAGGTCAGTTTAAATGTCAATACAGAATTTGGGAAGTACAGAGAATGAGAGTATTTTATGTCCCTCACTAACACACTAGATTTTAAAGCCTCCTGAGATAGAAATTTAGAGCCAGATGAGAGTCAAGGATACCATGTTGGGCATTTCTAAAGGCTGGTACTCATGCACCTGTGTTGGGACTGCCAACATGGCATGGCTGGTATAGCCAACTCATAGAATCATAGAGCTGGAAGAGACCTCAGGAGGTCATCAAGTCCAGCCTCCTGCCCAAGGCAGGGCCAATCCCAACTAAATCAACCCAGCTGTTGATACAGGTTTTATACACTATGTTTTTATCACTAAACTGGACTAAGAAGAACTCACCTCACTTGGGCCACCAAACAGTCATCGGATGGAAATAATTTTCAGTTGCTATTAACTTGGACTGGATTTGAGCCAGCAGCATAAAATACAATACAAATATCAAATAGAGAGAGCCCCTATGCTTCAGCAGTACTGGGATTCCGTTGCACTAGATGCTGAACAAACACCTAGTAGAAAACAGTCTCCGATCCTTACAATTGACTAACCTGCCCAGGCAGTAGAGTTACCCCCATTTTCAGATGTGCTGAAAGACTCCACAAGTCATAGAATCATGGAAAGGTAGGGCTGGAAGGGACCTCAAGAAGTCCCCTGGTGCAGACCGTTGGATTGAGGCAGAACCACCTAGCCAAAGCCATCCCTGGCAGGTGTTTGTCCAACCTGCTCTTAAGCATTGCCAATGATGGGAATTCCATGGCCACTCTTGGAAGCTTGTTTCAGAATGTAACCATTCTTATAGTTTAAAAGTTTTCCCTAATAGCTAACCTCAGGGATGATGAGTGGGGAGCATAAGGAGGGCACATGTCCCAAGGGTGTGGGTGGGAGGGTCAAGGAGCTGGCCAGCAGCTGGAGAGCCCAGAGCCCAGGCGCTCCCCTTGGTTCGAAACAGTGAACTGCAGGGATCTGCAATGCTCCGTCGCTACGGACACTTAGATAAACAGTATTGCAGGCCCACCAGCTGTTTACCTGGAGCAGGGAGAGGCTGAGAGAGTTGGGTCTGTTTAGTCTGCAGAAGCGAAGAGTGAGGGGGGATTTGATAGCAGCCTTCAACTTCCTGAAGGGAGGTTCCAAAGAGGATGGAGAGAGGCTGTTCTCAGTAGTGACAGATGGCAGAACAAGGAGCAATGGTCTCAAGTTGTGGTGGGCGAGGTCCAGGTTGGATATTAGGAAAAACTATTTCACTAGGAGGGTGGTGAAGCACTGGAATGGGTTACCTAGGGAAGTAGAGGAGTCTCCATCCCTAGAGGTGTTTAAGTCTTGGCTTGACAAAGCCCTGGCCGGGTTGATTTAGTTGGGCTTGGTCCTGCCTAGAGCAGGGGGCTGGACTTGATGACCTCCTGAGGTCCCTTCCAGCTCTATGGTTCTATGATTCTATGATTTTAGGGTGCTGTGACCTAACTTTTAAAACCATTGCAGTAGACCAGTAACCTTATTAAAGAAAGAAATTAGGTTGCTTTGGCATGATTTATTCTTGAAAAATCCATGCCGGCTATTCCTTCTGGGTATGTCTAGACTGCATCCCTCTGTCGACAGAGGGATGCAGATTAGGCAGGTCGACATTGCAAATGAAGTGGGGATTTAAATATCCTGTGCTTAATTTGCATTAAAATGGCCACCGTTTTTGCCGACTCAGCACTTTGTCATCAAAAAGAGGCAGTCTAGAGGGGGAGTCTGTCGAGAAAGAAAGCCTTTTTTGACAGATCCTATAAACCTCCTTGCAGGAGGCATAAGGGGTCTGTCAAAAAAGGCTTTCTTTCTTGACAGATCCCCCTCTACCAGACTGCCTCTTTTTTGCTGACAAAAGTACTGAGTCGGCAAAACGGCAACCATTTTATGCAAATTAAGCATGGGATATTTAAATCCCCACCTCATTTGCAATGTCAACCAGCCTAATCTGCATCCCTCTGCCGACAGAAGGATACAGTCTAGACATACCCTCTAATCCTATCATCTTCTAGGTGCTGACAAACTGATTGTTTAATAGCCTGTTCTAAAATCTTTCCAGGTTTGAAGTTAGGGAGACTGGTCTATAATTTCATGGGTCCCTTTTGCTCCCCAGTTTAAAGACAAATTCTATGTCTGTGCTTATCCAGTCCTCTCTCATCTTCCATGAGTTCTGGAAAATAATTGCTAATGGTAATGGTTCTAGATTGCTTCCTTAATACCTTGGGCTGAGTTTCATCAATCCCTGCTTTCTTAAATACATCTAGTTT